AACAGTTTAACTGTGATAAGATCTATTAATTTGGTCTTCAGGATGGAGGTGCACAAACAAGCTACCAGCTGCAGTGAGCATAAAATAACTTGCACTTAGGAACCTATAGGTGAGATTTGGAGCAGCACATCCATAAAGAAGGAACTTAGTGATTCTTAAACAAAATTCACCATGGCAGCAGTTTTGTCTGCTAAAATATTATACATGTGCTGTTTGGAATGAAGGTTTTCAGGTGTTGGCTGTGTTAGAAATAGTCTACTCCATGGTAATTTCCTTGTTTACCCAAACATTATAGAATTCAAGCAGAAGTAAACTAGACGATAACCAGAAAAAGCAGGGTGAAAATGCAGTTAAATCCCTGCAGGACCACAAAACAACAAAAGAAAAGAGAGCACATTTAAAAGTGCTGATGTTGACCATTCACATGTATTATTTAAACAAGCTTATCTCTTATTTTCTCCTGATGTTTTCTTTTAATATAACTGCCTGCTGTAGCAAGGGGTGGGGCAGAGGCTAAATAATGACAAGAAGCAAGAAGGGCATTAAGAATAAGTGTACCAGAGAGGCAAAAAGACAATTGCAGAAGTCTGGGGGAAAGGGAGGGAAAGTGAGAAAGGTCTGATAGTACTAGAGTATATAATATATAACCAGTGGAAGCTGGGGTTATTTAAATATGTTGCAAATGTTATACTTTAGATCTGAGGTTCACAGACTTCTGGTCTGCAGACCAGGTGTGGGAAGTTCTCCACAGTCATTCCTGGCTTTCAGTATGAAGCTTGAGAGTGTGTGATGGCTCCTTAGCAATACTGAGAGCTGACACCAGCCTAAAGGGTTTGGGACTGTTCTTTTGCAAGGTGATTACTGGGAGACTAAAGAGTGTTAAGGACTTTGACAAGGTGTGGGGTTAGGGGTGGGAGGTGTGATTGGAGGGCAAGGAATAAAGGTTACAAAACCTGCTCTGTCAAAAAAAAAAAAAACCAAAAAAAAAAAACACCCCATCAAACCTGGAAAAAATGAAGAAACATGTTCAGTTATGGAGTTCTGTCCTGTTTTTTTCATTTTAGTATTTTAGCTGCACATGCATGAAGCAGGTACCTGTAATGGTGCATTCTATTTGCTTTTTTTTTTTTTAAGCAAAATTTGGATCTGACATCCGGTTCTTATCATCACTGGTTCTGCTTACAAGCTCTGGAGCTTTTAGACAAAAGGAATTCTGACACAACCAATTTGTCTGCGCTGCTCATTTATTTTCTCACAGGACACAGTGGTTAAACCACTTTGTTGTTCATACTTTTTGCAGTGATGTAGAAATGTTTGCCCTAGGATCTGAGCCATAACCTCATAAGGTGGGAGAGGATTGTATAATAGCACCATGACAAAGCAGCTCAGGACTGCAGGATGTTGGAGTGGTTCCCCACAGTAAAGTAAACCGTTTGTTTTTAAATCATTGCAACAGCCATATGCTCTAGAAATTTCCATCCTTTTGAACATTTTTTTTTTTTTTCTGGAGAGGAGCAATAGGGGATAAACTGAGTTAATGTATTTCCAGTTATTTAAAAAATTTCCAATTAGAAGGTCATCAGTTAGTATTCCAGTCCTAAGCAGAAGCTTTTTGTTTCCATGTTTGCCATAGAGAATTAGAAAAACACTATTCTGCTCTGTATTTTCAACACTGCTTGGAGTTTTAATCTTAGAAAAGAATTTCTAGTAGTAGCCATCAGGAAATAAAATGCTTTTCTTCCTTCTCTTGACTTTTGTCTGATTCCAACAGTAAATGTGCAAATTAGTTCCTGTGGTGAAATCTCAATACTTTTTTGGTGTTTTCTTGCCAAGACACAAACATGCCCTCTTAGGTTAACAGCAGAAGCAGTGGAAGGTCAAGTTGGATTAAAGAGGGAGCACAGAAAATGTCTTCCTAGGTAAACTGATCCTGTACAATTGTCATCATCAGGATGCTGCAGAGATTTTTCTGGGTTAAAATGGTTGAAGAGCTGTAATGGAGCTAAGCAGCTAAATTTAGCAACTAGGGGGAATTTTGAAACTTAACTCCCTCTTCTTTTAAAAACTCCAGCCTTGATAGGTATAAAATTATCTGAAGGTGATTATGTTCTCTATTTCCTTCTATCAAGTAATTAAAGAAGCATTCTCTTTTTCAGGCTAAACGAGCCCAGTTCTTTTAGCCTCTTCCCATACCTCCTGCCAAGTTTTAACTGTAGGATATTCTACTTGAAGTTAAGTGACAGAAGTATGCAGCCTCTTCAATTCCACTTCAGAGTTTTGAGAAAGAGATCTTTATATTCTTTATATTCTATATATATATTTATATATTTAGATCTTTATATTCTTCCCTTCCTATGTTAGTGCTAACATAAGGGTTTTTTTCATGCACTATCAGAAAATGTACCACCTCGCTCTGAGAAAAGCTATTTTTTCTCTCAGAAAAGTTCATGTGCTGTACTAAGATTTTGATAAACTTCTGCTTTTCAAGAGATTTTTTCGCATATGCGCTGAAAATCATGTGAGAAGTTATTATTTATTATCAAACCCAGAAATTTCCAAAGAGATGTGAATTAATTTACAACTCTTAGCTCTCATTGCGAAGAAGAAATTGTTAGAGCCAACCTTAAATATAATAGAATAATTAATATGGAGAAAATGTCTCTACAATAAACTGTTTAAGTATTAATGTAGCATGTTTCAGTAGTGATTTATGACTGGTGAGTCAGACTTGGAATTCAGAAGTTGTTTGACGAAACAGAGCAAACAATATAAAGATTTTGTATGATTAAATTGCTTATTGCTCAATCTCAGTTCAGTATTAGCTTTTGTTAAATTAATCCAAAATAAAATCAAATCCAGACCCAAATCCCAGACCTTCTCCATAATGGTCTGAGTAAAGTCAAGTAGAATCTGCATTCTCTAGCGTCGAGATGCTAATTAAATTTGGAGGTTTATGTGAGAAACCATTCAGTTATGAGATTGAATCAACTGCTGGCATTTTTACAGCAAACTTCGAGCCTTCATTTAAGGCATTTCATATTAGTGCATCTCCAATTATTTAATATGTCTAGCTGTACATAATTTACTGTGTATCATAACTAACATAGATCTGGCTAGCCTCTGTTTGGTTTGGGTTTTGTTTTGTTTAAATAAGGATTTCCCAAAGCTCAAAACAGGACTTTTTCTACCTTATGAGCTGGGAGGAGAAATGCCATCACTCCATTTTGGGTCTGCTCCAGGTGTGAGTGCCCAGTGCCAGTGGCACCCAGATAACTTTAAGTAGAGCAACTGAGGCAGGGTTAGAAGATAAGGCAGTCCATTTGTTCTTACATAACTTATTTTGTATTTTGTGTTCTTAAATATTATATATCTGATAGAACATGATATTTCCTGAAGAGTTGAAGGAAAACCAAAAACTTGTATCATATTTTGTTAATTCTTTGCTTGACTGTATTGAGTTTTTACTTTTATAAATCTCTATTATGTCACCTTTTCTTCCCAAAGAATTATTATTAACCTTTTATTTTCCTCACACAAAGACTTTTCTGCAATTCACATTTTTCTGACCAGTCACAGAAATTTCTGACTCACTGGTACATTGTTTGAAAACTGATTTGTATATGGAAACTAGGTGGACTATTTAAGTAACAGCCTGTTTTCAGCTTGTTTACTGTCTTTTATAGATATATTTCTTTGGGATTTTGGGGGGGGGGTTTGTTTGTTTGTTTTAAACTAACTTAGGAACAGCATAACAATGTTTTCATTGAATTGGTCTCTAAAATGGTGTTTGAACCTTAGCCCCAAGGTTCTAGAAAAATAAATGAGTTTCTCTGAACACACAAGTACAGCACAAATTTTGGTAGGTACAAGTCAGGTGAGCCACTTCAGTACAAAACTAATTTAGCCCCAAAGTGAAGTGTTTGGAATGTGTCTCACAGTTTTTACTAATTCTCTACAATAATACCTACTTACATTTTATGCATCTGTCTTATTTTTTCCCATGTATGGATTTCAAATATACAGGATAGCATAAGTACCCTTTTCCCTTTAGTCCCCAGGATTGCATTAGAAGACAGATAGAGATTCTTTTTTGTTGTTGTTTTTTGATAGACTCAGAATCGTATGAAGCTGATGGCTGACAACTATGAGGATGACCACCTCAAATCCTCATCCCATTCCAACCAAACCAACCACAAGCCCTCCCCTGACCAGGTAATGTGTCTCTCTTTTTCACTTGTAAAGTAGTTTTTAGTATCGGGGCCGATTGTTTTGAGTTTAATGTAATTTTCCCTGATGTGCTTTGCAGTACCTTGTAACAAAAATAGCGTTCCAGAGTGCACTTATAAACCAGAAATGGATGTTGCTGTTGTGCTGGCTTCCTTGAAAACTCCTGAAATGTGAACAAACAGATCCCAGTACCAGTACCAAGCTGTTATTAAGCGGGTGGAGAAGAGGGGGCAGACAGTGAAAGGGAAGAAAGAAATGTTATGCTCTTAAATTGCCAGACTGGAGTCCTGTCTCGCATATTCAAACTTCAGTAATTCAGGCTTACTGCTTGAGTGTGTGGAGTGTCCAGGACTGTTTCTTGTCTTCAGTAGCAGGAAATCATGCTCCAGGATCAGCTTTCTGATCTATGGATTGCATACAAGCAGTTCCCTTCATTTCCCATGAGGAAATCCTAGCCTCTGTGCCAAATGAGCACAGACTGCTCCCTCACAAACTCAATGGGCCGTGAACTGAAGGAAAATCAATTTAAAATCTCCAAGGCAGTGAGGAGACTCCTGTGTCATTTACAAAGCACAGCCATGTGCTTGATAACTATCAGAGAGATTACCTATCCCTTGAGAAGCACAGAAAATGCCAACATAATTGCATATCCCATGTTGTAATCTCATCCATTCCAGTTTAATTAAAATATTAGCAATCATTAATCATTGCCTTGACAGAGTGAGGGAATGGTTGGCCCTCCTCTTTGCCCTCTGGCTCATCTAGAAATTGTTGAGATTTGAAGAAAGGCATCTCACTCTAGAACTTAGAGCACCCACCTAGTGACATGCAAAAATTCTGAGTAAGGTGCAAGAGGAAAATTACAAAAACCTATTGCATATTCACCTTCTGAAAACAGATCTTTAAAACATCACTTTTCATGTCCATATCAGAAGACAGTAAGGGATGTATACAAAGCAGAAAATTACTTATTTTCAGAGCAGCTTCCTTTTGCATCTGGTTTTAATACCCTCCTTCAGATGATAAATGAAGAACTGTACATTGATTGGCTTGAATTTTCTGCAGTGTTTTTGGAAAATGTTAGCCTTACCTTCTTCAGGAGAGTGCAGATGTTAAAATTGCAAAGTAAATGCCTTTCCTAATCTTAATATGGAGGAAATGTTAGAGTATCTGTTGTTTCTACAGTGCCAGTCTACAGAGAAATTAAGCCATCTCCAGAATGTAACTGTAGTACATGCTTGCAAATGAATACAGCATAGCGTTCACGGATGAAGTGAAAAGATAAAATGTAAAGAAAATATAAAATATAAGCATTTAAGGAAATTCTTGCGAAGGCCTCACAGGGGAGGGCGTATCGAGGGGAGGAAGGAGCGGGAGGAGGGTCTGTCTGCACTTTCCCTTTTCGTAAGGGCATTTTAAAAGCTGGTGAATCCTACAGGAGAGCAAAAAAAGCCGTACCTCAAGGTGGCTCAGAATATTGCATAAGGGTTTAAACACTTTGTGTTTTGTACTTACGTATGTGCTTTAAACACTAACCAACTGTTTATTTCATTCCCATGCTGCTCTGGGCCTTTTCTCCCATTGCCACCTCTGCACCCCTAGGATGAGGAGGAGGGCATTTGGGCATAACCAGTCAGATGCTCTTAGTTCAGCCATTTTGTTCAGAACGGTGAGAATCAGCTTTTCTTGCCAATAGAAAAGTTTCCAACACTCTCACATCTTTCCTGTGTGCTTTGTGAAACCTGGTTGTCCTCCCTCCCCCTTGCTTGCGTAGTCTCTGCATGAAGGTTTTTCTGGTGTGTTTATGTGTAGTTTGTGATTTTCTTCTCCTAATCATCATCTCATTGTTTCGTGATGTTGTGGGGAGAACTTTCCAGGGCATGTAATCGAGTTTCTATGCAAAGCAAACTCTTAATGTGTACAGAACAGGAAATGTCTCTCATATCATTTATCATTGACTTCATGGAGGAAATGTTTTCAGTCGGGTTCTTTTTCAAAGAAGTTTGCACTGTAGCCAAATCTATGTATGCTTTTTCGATTCTGGTTAGTAAAGAATTTGCTCAGAGATAATGTTCCTCCTGAAGATAATGTTCCTCCTGAAGGTTTTAAGCATGTTGAGATCTGCTGCTGAGATTGCTGCCATGCATGCTGACCTAACTACTCACAGATATTTATCAGCTCTGAATAGATGAGTCTTGATGTGGAGTAAGAATATACATTTTCTATAAACTTGAAGACAAAGAGGAGTATCCCATTAACCTTCCCCTTTCCTTTCCATCCCCCTCGTTCTCTCAGAACAATGGGAGAGGAATTGGTAGCTATTTGTCATTTAAAGTACATTTTGTTTCTCTATGTCTGCATCCACAATTTTCTCTTTTCTGGAGTCAAATTGTCTCCTCAACAACCTCCATTGCCAGAAGAGAAGGCAATACAGAGGACAGAGCCCTTCTCTTCACACCTGTTCACTGGCTAAGAAAAACCCCATACTTTACTAACCAGGAGCTACAAAAGTCAAATATCAATGATTAGGCTACGGGACATAGGATTACAGTATCAGTTTTAAAGCAGAATAAATTTATTTTAGGTACTTCAAGTATTTTAAAGTATAGAGATACAATCACAATATTTTAGTATTTTATATGAAACTTTTTCTTTTAAGAAGAAATATTTTGCATGAGTTTCTTCATAGTTTGCATTAGGTTTTGATTTTTCCATATCAATTATTTGAAAGAAAACTTCTGAAAATTTCTGTGGCAATTTTGGACCCTTGTATTTCTGAAAGTTATTACTTTATATTAGTTTTGTAAAAAACATTTACAAAAGAATAAGTTATTATCTTATCTCTTCACAATTGCTCAGTAAACTGCAGATTTTCTGTATAGACCAGATCCTTCTTTTCAAGTCAACCATCTGAAAAATTTAATCCAACTGTGGCAGTGTCAAACTTGAATTTCATGCCTTGGGGTTTCAACTGAGAAAATCTCTTTAGTGGAAAAATTGATAAAGTGCTTCATTAATTTTCACTCACTATTGATTTCACATTCTTTTTGAATCACCGCTCTTGCAACAGTTCTGTGCTAGTATATGATATTAAAAGTTTTAGAGATAATGCTTGTAAAGGTCTGCTGAAGCACAGCAATTGAACAGGAGAGATCAGGTAAGTAAATAATGAAAAGGAAGAAGACACTCACGATGAAGGTAGGAATAATTCTGATTTTCATTCTAGAGCAGACACAGAGGTTGTGCAGAAATCACTGATCTTTCTCTTTTCCTCTCCCATCTGCTGATATATTTATGAATGCAATTGTGCTAAGAATATGCTCCCTCTTAGATTACTGAATTAATGGGTGGCTCACAGTAAATAGACCGTATCTCACCACTTTGCACTTCAGGCATTTTCCTCAGGAAAGCATGTTACAGAATATCCCAGTCAAAATAATCAGACACTCAGCATCCTTGCCTTACATGCATCTCATCCTAGAAAGATTCCAGGCTCAAGATTGTCTTAACTGATGCCTCCCAGGTCAGGAATTCTCAACAAAGTACATGTTCTTGCCATTATATTCCATTTAATTCTTTTTTAAAGTCCTTATTCTCTTTGTAAAAGCAAAGATGATGTAAGTCACAGAGTCCTTAACCTGCATGTGTTAAATTGAATGTATGTGTTCCAATAATTAAAAAGTGACTAATAGCATAGGATTTAGTGGTAACTTTGTTTTTTAAAGTTCCCTTAGGTCTGATGATGTAATCACGTCTGGTCAATACTGAAGATAAAATGGAGACCATCAAAATATATACAATGGCAAACTATTGTTTGATTTTTGTGTTTTGGGGTTTAAGGCTTTTGCCCTCTAGCATTCTGGAATTGACTGAATCTAACATTTAATTATGCCAGTTCTGTACATGGCAGTGTTATCAGATGTAGCTCCCCTGGAATGGAGCACTGTTTCTAAACATATGTGCCCTTCCTGTAGTTTCAGAGAATGGTAGTTTACATTTCAGTTTACAGTTCAATGTAAATACCATCTTTCAACCTGAAATAGTCTTTCCTAGCCTTTTTCTCTAGGCTCTCTTCCTTGCTGTCTGAATTTCTTATGACAGTTATTCCTTAAATGGATAGAGCTCTATCCCCCTCTATATCCAAGCATATTCCAGTGTGCTTCTCATGAGGATGCCCCTTGGTCTTTCTCAAATACTAAAATGGTCTCACCAGTGACTTAATTAGTTCCTTACTTTTACAAAAAATACTACTTTACACTTTATGATATCTAACACGTATAAAAAGATATGTGTGTATACTTCACACCTCGAATACTGTGTTCAGTTTTGCACCCCTCCCTGGTAAAAAGACATTGAGGTGCTGGAGTGTGTCCAGAGAAGGGTAAGGAAGCTGGTGAAGGGTCTGGAGATCAAGTCCTATGTGGAGTGGCTCAGGGAACTGGGGTTGTTTAGCCTGGAGAAAAGAAGGCTGAGGGGAGACCTTATAGGTCTCTGCAAATACCTGAAAGGAGGGTGTAGTGAGGCGGGGGTTGGTCTCATCTACCAAGTAACAAGCAAAAGAACAAGAAGAAATGGCCTCAAGTTACACCAGGTGAGGTTTAGATTAGATACTAGAAGAAATTTCTTCGCTGAAAGGGTATTTAAACACTATAATAGGCTGCCCACGGAGGTGATTCAGTCACCCTCCCTCATGGTGTTCAAGAGACACACAGAATATGGTGCTTAGGAACATGGCTTAAGTATTGGATTTGGTAGAGATAGGTTAATGGTTGGTAGAGTTAGGTTGTGGTTGGATTTTATGATCTTAAAGGTCTTTTCCAACCAGAACAATTCTGTGATTCTGTGTGTTTGCATCTTCTTGTAAGTATGTACCATGTATGCACTATGTGAGGGAAAGAAACAGCAAAGTTTCCATAGGTAAGCTCTCAATCTGCTCAATTAATGTAGTTTTCTTGGGAAGGACAGCCATGCTGCCTGTGATGTGA